GCATCAATAATGCATTAAAAAGTACTTGTGCATTTTAATGCTCTTGTAATGGAGGCTGAATTGACCTATATAGGCTATTTCATATCCCACAGAGTATGCTCAAAACAGTCATTCCTCATTCTGTTCAATCACATAAGGTCTTTGAGGCATGCTTCTGGTGATGTGGTGATCCATAAAGGGCATGATGAAGCAGGCCCTCAGGCCTCCCTTGGTGCCCCCCAGCCCTGTGACTGCAGCAGAGGGGCAGGACACTGTATCAGCTAAAAGAAGAGCCATGTTCCGGCTCAGTCTTTTCTTTCAATGGAAGAGCCTTCCAGTGAAGCAAGAGGAGGATCGACCTTTCTCCACCCCAGCATCATGGGGACCACACCTACATGGCAGCTAGTGCAGAGGAGACTCAATGAGGTGAGACACTGCCTGGATTATTGGCTAATGTTTCCCTATTTCGTGTTTGTTCTTCCCTGATCATAGGAAAACAAGCATTTTGAGATCGTTAGGTCCAGGCTTTGTGGCAACCTTGTAAGTTGAACAGGTCTGAAGGACCCACTGAGACCAAATTGAACGGCAGCAGAGGAAGAGCCCCTAGAAGCCACTCCAGCATTCTTGGAGAAGACGGCCACCAACAAGAAGCCAGACCCAAATCTTGCCATTTTACCAGCAGAATTTACATAGAGTTGTTTGGACAGTGCAGAGCAAAAAGGAAATGTAAACTACCTAATTAAGAGTCCCATGAAAAGCTCTCTGTTTTTATGCAGTATAACTATCAGCCACCCTCCCCCCCTTCCGGATCACTGCCTTGTCATGGTGGAGGGGCTTGAGTAGCTCAATGAAACTATGAGCTATGCCATGCAGGGATACCCAGGATGGACAGGTCATAGTGGAGAGTTCTGACAAAAGGTAATCCACTGGAGAAGGACACGGCAAACCACTTCAGTATCCTTGCCAAGAGAACCCCACGGACAGGTCCATGGAATCACAAAGAGTCAGACACAACTGAACAACAACAAAATTAACCTCCCAGCAGAATTAACAGCAGTAATATAATGAGATAGCGTGCTGGACTGAGCATCAGGGAGAACTGGATTCAAATCCCACCTTAAAAGCCTGGCTATGTGACCCTGGTCATTTAATTTCTTAAAACCTCAGTGACTCCATTTGTGAAATAAGAATAATAACAGCCTCATGGGATTGTTGTGAGGATCAAATGAGCCAGTAGATGTAAAACATAAAACACTTTGCAAACCTTAAAGCACTACAGAAATGTTAGCTATTTTTAAGTCAAGTTGCTGAATTCTGTCTTACATTTTATTGAGTGCATCCAGGGAATCTTATACCTGGCACTTCTGTTGAGTCTAGGAATGTCATATGTCCTGTACCTGATTCATGTTGTCCACTGGGTTCCTTTTTATTTTCCTCTTTTTGAGGAAACCCTAAACATGAACTGTAACCTAAGCTATAAGTAAATTTGTCCCCACGTGGAAGTTTAATGAGCTGAAAAGTATGAGAACAGGAACCATGTTCCAGTCTCAGGACTAAACCAGACCCAAATCACGTGCCCGATTATAGAAAAAGAAGTTGATGCAGTACCCCAGTCCCTGGGGACCCAATATTGGTTCCTCAAGGCTAGACTACATTCACGTTAAACCTTTTTATCCAACTTTTATCATGTTAGTTTTCTTGACATTCAAGTTCTTATTCTTTCAGTAAGTAGCTTGATTCATTCTTATATTATACTACACTTCTCACTCTCTTTTTTCCCTAGTAACCAGTTCATATGCTTTCCCCATTCTCCCTCCTAACCTCTAGGCATTCTTCCTTACCATTCTCTAAGACCCTCAACAACAAGAAATATTTACTGAGTACCTACTGTGTCCTGGGAGTTGATAGATAATGGGCACCATGATTTGGATTGGGTTATAAATCTGTATCATGTGAACTTCAAAGAAGGACGAGTTGCTAGCAAAGGTGACTGAGGGACAGTCTGGAAGCAGAAATGATGACCAAGGAATAGTCTGACTTGCCTACTCCAATCAGTGAGGCATAGAATACAAGAATAAGAGTATTAGGAAAGGTGATGAGGGAAGCATTGTTTTCAGGAGGGAGCCATTGCTCAGTGACAGCCAGAAGATGGAAGGGATGAGAAAGATGTTTAAGATGAAAAGAAGTTTTTAAATTATGGAATAGGCATTCCAGGAGGCACAGTGGGAGAGATGGGCAGATCTGGAGTAGGATATGGTAGAGGGAGATGGTAAGATGGTTAGGTCTGCAGGAGTAGCCAGATAAGAATGGGGAACCAGGTTTATATGTTGATTATCAGGGATTCAGGATCACTGGGATGGGAGGAGTAAAAGGAGATAGAAGCATGCTAACCAAGGAGTAGTGAGTCTAGGTAAAAGTATCAATAGTTGAAATGAAATTTGTCGAAAGATGTATGGGACTTGAGTATTTGGAGTACAACTACTCAGAGATGGAGATATCGCATCCTAGGATACGCAAGGAGGCCCACCACAGAACAAACAGAAACAGGAGAAGAGAAGGCATGGAAGACTGGTGAGGAGACCAGGGTGTCATATTTGTTCTGGGGGAGACCCTCAGGAAAAAATAGAAGGTAGGGCAACCTTGACCTAGAGATAGTCCTGGGGCAACACAGTCTGAAAATATATCAAAGTCCTTTATTTTGCTTACAACAGTATTCAACAGATTAGAGGAAGACAGAAATCAAGGGGAAAAAACTAATATAGAAAAATTTGAGATTAGCAAACATGGGAGTAAAGGAGTTTGTAGTTAGACTCGAGATGGGGCACATGCAATGTAGAACCAGGAGAATAAATGTCCCGGTGCTCATTAAATCTTCCTTTCCACTCTGAAGTTTTTTGGTTACCATTAGCTTTTTTCTTCCTTTATATCTTTTAATAATGGCTAACAAAGAATTCAGGTCACAAATCCAGCAGATCATAAAAAGGGAACAGGAAAAAAACACTGACTCCAGCACTTTGCTTATTACACAGGCAAATCTAAACAAATGAAAAGGAATATAAAAAGAGAATTTACTGCACCTGTCAGCTGGGCCATTCCCAGGGTTATTACAGAAAGTATTTATGACTTACTGAGGATGAGTACTGCCACAATCCAGCTTCTCTTGCTACCTTGTACAGAATGTGTAGAATTACAACTTTGCTGCCGACTGAGTCTATGGGCTTCATAAATAAGGAAAGAAGACTGGTTTGAGAGATTACTTATTTATGTAGAAACAACTTTGAAAAAAATACAGAGCAGCTGAAAGGTAAATACTAAAGATTTATGCTTTAATACTAACACCATTTGGTGAAGCGTTGGATTTTTTCCTCCCAAATATGCTTGGGGCTTTTGCCAACGTTTAGATTTCCTGCAAAGGCAGCAGTTGGTCAATATTTGCAATGGATTTTCTCCTTTAATATTCTATCAAACTGGATGTGATGATAGTGGATGGAAGAAGGGATAAAGTGACATTTTCCTTCCCAGCTGCATGTTTCTAACAGCCAACTGGGTAGGAGCAGGCAGAGCCTGGTCTGAGTCCCTCCCCTTGGAAGTACTGAACATCAGCAGCTTTCAGTAAAGCTCTTAGAACTCTGCCTAGGGTTTGAAGCTCTATCTTCTGCCCCTAAAAACACGTAGAGAATCCACTGGATTACTACTGGGAAGGGAGCCAGAGGTTCTTGACAGGACTCAGTGTCATGGAGGCTAAAGCATAGATGCCACTGTCTCTTTCTCTTGGCTCCAGGGGAATGTGGGAAGCAGGCTGTTTCCAAAATTCGCTCCTCAAGATGCGATAGACAAACATGCCCTCAGCCAAGAGGGATCTCTCGTGGCAGGCACGATAATCTGGGCTCTGATCCCATATTCTCAAACCATTTCTTCAGAGAGTAACACTAGTAAGTATTAAGTGGAATTTTTACCCTTTGACATCATAAACTTTTTGGGGCATCTAATGTGACCACCACATATTGCTTTGTAGTGCAGTTATTTGAGTATACTTTATATTTCCCTACAAATCTGTAAGTTCCATGAAGGGTCTGTATCTTATTTCAATGTTCTATGCTGCCCCCGCCCCACCTCCACTCTAGCACTGTACTCAGCACACAGTAGTAACTTAGTAAATGTTTGTTGAATCTCTTTCTTTTTCTTTTTGAAAAACAGCAACAACAACAAAAACTTGTCGAAGGTCACAAGCTCAAAACCAAGAATTTATCAAGCACTTGCTCGTGCAGGCCACTAGGTGGCACAGTGCACAGAGTGCTGGACAAGGAGTCTAGAACAGCTGGGTTCAAATCCTGCCCTAGTTGTAAGGTCCTGGGCACGTCACTTAAATTTAACTTCTGTCTTTCTCAGTTCCTTCAACTGTAAAATGGAGGTAATAATAGCTCCTACCTGCGAGGGTTGTTGTGAGCAGAAAATGAGATATTTGTAAACCTTTATATATCTATGTCTATATCTATATCTATACACATACGCATGTATATGTATGCACATAGATTTATATATGCATGCATGCATGTATGTATGTTTAGGGCCACCTAGGTGGCACATTGGATAGAGCACTGGGCCTGAGTCAGGAAGACCTGAGTTCAAATACAGCCTCAGATATTTTCTAGCTGTGTGACCCTGGGCAAGTCACTGAATCCTGTTTGCCTCAGTTTCCTCATCTGTAGAATGCGCTGGAGAAGGAAATGGCAAACCACTCCAGTATCTTTGCCAAGAAAACTCCAGATGGGGTCATAAAGAATTGGCCATGACTGAAATGACTGAACAACCACAAAAATATGCATCTGTGTGTGTGTGTATATGTGTGTGTATACACATATACATATATGTATATATACACTGATACAGATATACATACAAACACATAAAATATATACATGTATGTGTCTACAGGCATGTGTGTATAGACATACATGCACACACACAAACATATACATGTACGTATCTATATATACATATATGCATTTCACATTGCAGTAAAGACATAAAAACAAAACCATTCCTCTCCTCAAGTCCACTCAAGGAAAACAATGCAGAGAAGTAAATGCAAAATATACACAGACATTTAGTGATAATGATAAACTACCCAGTCAACTCTATTTTATGTAGAATTGAATTTCACAGAGTGTCAAAGGATAAAACAGTTCTTATGCTTCTCCAGCTCTGTGGAAGCAGACCTGTACTAAGACCAGTTGTTCATTTGTTTATCTCTGAGGTAACCTGATTATGCTAAAAGTCTAAATAATACCAGGAAGGACGGAAAAATATGAATCCAGCGTATTTTGTTTGAATACTAATGTTTTCTTCTTAGTAGGGACAGGACCAAATGTGTTTCCTACATTATGTAAAGGAGGAAACGAAATCAAACATTAATGACTTTCCCAGATACATGTCAAGACTCAGATTAGTATCTAGGTTTTCATTCTGCCTATGGTCTGAAGTAAGGGAAGAAAGAAACCCTATTTCCCTATCAAGCCTAACCATGTCCCCTACAATTCTGCTCACACTACCCCCTTTCCCTTGCCTGTTGTCTCTAAAAAGCTCAGCTTACATTATAATCAACACAGCTCAATTTTACAGTTCACATGGTACTTTAACTTTTACAAAGGCTACACAGAGGAAGTGGGCACCCAGCAGTCTCTTCCATTAGAACTCGTGATTCCAATCTCAGTACCAGGTGGGATCAGGTTGGGATGTTCCCACCACTGCTCAAAGGATGACCCAAACTGCCTATCTCCCCCTTCTGCACTTGGAGTTCTTGTACTGGCATTGTGTTCAGGGAGTGACTGGCCAGGAATCCACTTATGTAATGCCCCCACCCCCCATCATGGAATTTCAGAACTACAAGTTAAAAGGGGCCTCAGAAGTTATATAATCCAGTCCCTTCCCAAATCGTGAATTCCGTCTGCAATATCTCTGACAAATGGATGTCCAGCCTTCATGTACTGCATGAAGATCTTTGGTAGCAGGGGAGGTAGACACATCAAGAACTGGGACTGATTCTCTTTGTTGAAAGTATTTGTTGAAAGTCTCAGCTCAGATTTCAGTGCTCCTGCTGCTAGTAGAAGACCATGCCATTCTTCTTCTTTTTTTTTCAATAATTCAATAATTTATTCATCTAAAAAAGTGAGTAAAAGTGTATAGCTTTCATCCACAAGGTATATATGAATAACATTTAAAATGGGGGCCTTTTATTATTGTTTCTTTTTATCAAAGTCTTTTTAGTGTATTACACCAGCGATATACTATAGTTTTTTTTTTAATGAACTTCATATATTTTTGTATTCTTTCAAATTGTCTGCTATATATAAAAGAAGCTCACTGCAAAATGCTTGAAGGGGAAAAAAAGACAACAATTCAGAACTTCCCAGAAATGTACAGCTTTTACATTTAAAAAAGGTTCTGAAATATATATACACGCATATGGGACAATCCCCTCCCTGCCCCTTGCCCTTCAGCTCAAACCATAGTAAGAGTTCTGATTTCTCATGCCATTCTTTATAACAATATAGATAATATGACATAAAACAATAAGAAGAAAAAAACCCTGTTTCATATACCACATGAAGAAGGAAAAGGAATACCTTAAGAGAATGGACTAGTAGCTTGCAGTCATCCTTGGTTATCTGTACTTAATTACATTTCCTATATATGTCTTTTAAAAGTCTGAGATCTTCACCTAGCTCCCAGTATAGCTACATTGGTCCCAGAACCACCTTTTCCTACCCGCACTCTCTTCCTCATTACAGTGAGTTACAACTGCTTCCCCAGAATACAACCAAAACTTACCTAGCTTTTCTTTTTTTCTTTCTTTGAATTCTCTTTGAAATCCTTTCTCTTAATGTTCAAAATACATATCAGTTGGTTCCCAGTGTTTTCTTCTATATTTCTCACAAAATCCAAGGTATCATGATCACTGACTTCCAGGGGATCCATCATTTCTTCTTCACCAACTCAATCAGGTCTAGAACAGCAGTTCTCCTGTGCTAAGATGGGACTCTTAGTTCCACTGTTGCTTAGAGTCCACATGGCTGACTAACCACACACACTTCCTCCTGAACAACTTGTTCTCCCCATTGGCATACCCCATACTTCGTTCATCCTTGATCCGACCCTAGTGAAGGAGAAAGGAATTTTCTAGACTCAGTGACACTGAAACAAGTTCTGCCCTCCCAGAAGTCAAGGAAAATAATGGACACCATCCAAAGACAAATCACTACCCTTATTTACCCCCTAATCTTGACTATTGATCTTCCTTCCTATGCTTGATTCAGGATTTAACAATGAAATTAATTTTCAAAAATGAAAATAAAAATATCCCATTCATTTTCATTGAGTCTGAAAACACAATAGACAACAACAGATATACATATACAAACATCTAGTGGTCCAGACCAAACAGTCATGAAAAACTAATTTGCAAATTAATGAATCGTGGTCCTATTTACATTTGTATTGTAACTCTAATCAGTTATTTATTTGAACCAAAGTCTTCTACCTTCCCTAGTGACTATAAACAAATAACAGCTTGTTGGAATTGTCATATGTGCTTAAATTTCATATACCTTGTATTATCAGAACTCAATCAAAATTCTTAATGCTATTATTTGTTATCAGGCCTGTGATCTGACACTGAGTTACATTCCTTCACATCGGACTAGAATCAATGTTCTAATGGTAATGGCTCTTGGGGGCAGCTAGGTGGTGCAGTGGATAGAGCTCTAGCCTTGGAGTCAGGAGGTCAAATCCGGCCTCAGACACTTGACACTAGCTGTGTGACCCTGGGCAAGTCATTTAACCCCATTGCCCAGCACCCGTCCCCCCAAAAAAGGTAATGGCTCTTTCTTGCTGTAGACGTTGGTCTTTGCATTTTCTTCAGTCATAACATGACCAACTATAGACCTGAAGGGAAATCCTTTCTCACTGAAAGGATAGTTTGCTAAGATATGATCAACAGTTTTACATTATCACAGATATTTTACCCCATCCCACCTTACTCCTTAAACTTAGTTAGGATGACCAAAAGAAAGAGTTCCCCTCTAGTTATTTTGGTATTACCTTTTGTTAGTTGGATTTATGTCTTTTATTTATTTATTTTTAAATTAAATCAAATTTTTTTTATTAGATTTTAAATTCCAAACTGTTGCCCTCCCTCCCCACCTCATACTATAGAGAAGGCCTCCATTTGACACAGATGCGCACACACGTATATAAACCCATACTATGCATATTTTTGTTTATCAGTTCTTTTTCTGGAGGTGGATAGCATCTTCCTTCATAGGTCCTTTGTAGCTGATTTAAGTATATATAATACTTAAAATAACTTATTATTCACAGTTGCTCTTTGAACAATATTGCAGTTACTGCATACAACATTCTCTTGGCTCTGCTCATTTTACTCGTCATTATTTCATACATCGCTTTCCATATTTTTCTGAAATCAACCAGCTCATCATTTCTTATAGCATGGTAGTATTCCATTACAATCATATACCATGACTTGTCATCCCCAATTGATGGCATTCCCTCAATTTCCAGGCATTTCTGGATACTCTTCCCACCTCCCCACCCCTGCCAAAGTGAGCCTTCCCTTGTAACAAAGAAAAGCAAAAACCAGTGCCACAATGACCAAGTCTGCCAGTGAATACAACATTCTCCATCCACCGTCCACCAACTGTCCGAGGAAAGGAGGAAAGCGCATTTCTTTATTTCTTTCCAGGGTCAATATTGGTCATTATAATTACCAAGCTTTCAACCTTTTTAGTGTTCTTTGCACTTACAAGATTGTGGTCATTATTTATATTGTGTTCCTGGTTCCACTTACTTCATTCTTTACCAGTTCATACAAGTCTTCACATTTTTATGGAATACCTCACATGTATCACCAAATGAAAGATTTTGAGTTTTCCTCTGAAGAGCTTAATAGTTCCAAATGATTGATTTCAATTCAGTTTCAACTTAAAGAGTCAGAAAAATACACACATATGGCCTTTCTAGAATGAAAGACTTAGTAATGGTTTAACTGGAAACATTAAATTTTCTGACTCAACCGAGGAACCTTTTAGAATCAATCAAACAAGCATTTTTGAGTGCATCCTATGTGCCAGGTACTGTCCTAGGCATTGGGTAATTCCTACCCCCAATGAGTAGGTGAGTGGAGGAAAGGAAGAGATGAGAGTGATGCTGTGGAGACAGAATTAATAAGACAAAACTGCCTGATATGGGTGGGGGATGTAAATGAGAGGGAAGGGTCCATTTTAGAGTCACAACTCAATTGCTAATCTACCCAGTTGGAGAAGAGTGATTTGATTATAATACCATTATAATGGCCCAGGGATCAGTGAGTTATGAATGCTTTTCATATTTTAAAATAAAGTTTTATTTAAAATGTAAAAATACCATTCTTAGCTCAAGGCCATACAAAAACAGGCAGGCTGAATTTGGCCATTGAGCCAAAGTTTGCTGACATCTAAACTAAGCTAAAAATAAAGCCCAAACCATTATGGGTCCAGTTTAGAAACTTTTATTCATATAATGGTCTTCGAGGTTGTGAACCTGGGTGACAGAAACCTGGGTGGTACTTTACACAGGACAGGGAAGTTAGGAGGAGGGATGGGTTTTAGGCAAAGATACTAGGTTCTGTTTTGGAGATGTCAAGTTGCCTGCGGGTCATCCAATGGCACATGAAGGTGAGCTAAACCTCCTGGGATCCCAGAACGTGGGATGAGTGGTGGGAGAAATAAGAGTGGTACTAAGCCAGAGAAGATTAAGGAATGTAGCCACACCAAGATATCTTGGTCTAGACAAACAAAATGCTAGATTCATTTTTTGTCTTTGGGGAAACAAAAGCAGTAAGACTTTATTTAGCAAAATTCCATGCAAGTGTTTTCTGAAAGTGAAACAGTACGAGGTTTGTAAGCCTTCACTCCATTCCCAAGCCATCTCTTGGTGTTTTGTTGTTTTTGGACACACACACACACACACACACACACACACACACACACGTACACATACACACACATGCACACAGAGTTAGAAAGCTAGGTGGTCCAGGTTGGAATGTTAATTTACTGGATTCCAAATAAAACACTACCTACTCTGGAATGGGACAAAAGCTGCACTGACTATTCCTCTGGAGATGCTTGGAACTTGGGAACTGCTTCCAAATACTTGCGATTGCTGTCTTTCTCAGATGACCTTGGAGCACATATGAGGCTTTATAGCATACTTACATTGCAAAATAATACTATGTGCACAGGCTCATCAATGATTTAACTACTTCCGTTAATCTTTCCTTACTATAACTCTCCCAAGGAAATTTGTCCCAAGGACAAAATAAAATTATACTTTTCCTTTTTCTTTTTAATACAACTTAGCTAGAAAGTTGATTACCTTTCCCACTTCACCCCCCCTCCCATTAGTGTTATAAGATGGTGGTTATTTATAAATGGAAGAGTGTCCAGATAAATTTTAGATTTTTTAATTCGAAAGCATTTTTAAAAAATTAACACAATCACTGAAGCAGTTTGCTATCCTACCTTCCTGCCAGGAGCAAGCTTTCTTAAGGTACCAATTGAAGCTGGAAGATGCTCATTATTCTTGAAGGATGTGATACTTAAATAAAACACCTAATTTTATCTCAGAAAACTAGTTATACCTATTTGTAAACATAGCCTAAGAGGGTCACCTTTTTTCTCTTGGAAAACTATAACAGGCTATTTTTATTATTTTTATTTTATTGATTATTTATATCCATACTATCACCCAAGTCATTGATAAAAATATTGGACAGAATGGGGCCAAGAAATGAATTCTTATAAAACAGCTGAGTCTTCCCCCCAAGCTGGCTGACATGGATACATTAATCAACACTCTGGATTGGTCATTCAACTATTGCAAACCTATCTAATGGTGATATCCTACGGTTCACATCTTCCCACTTTGTCTATAAGGAGAATATGAAAGACATAGTTAAGGTAAATGGCTATTATTTTCCCGCATTCTTTTGCTATGCTGTGAATTACTGATAACTGCTCTGTCCGTTCGGCCTCTGACACTAGCTGTGTGACCCTGGGCAAGTCACTTAACCCTGTTTGCCTCAGTTTCCTCCTTTGTAAAATGAGCTGGAGAAGGAAATGGCAAACCAATCTAGTATCTCGGTCAAGAAGAGTCAGACACGACTGAAATAACTGAGCAATGATCTTTCTAAAACTCATTTTATTCTAAGATCTTCCTTTTAGGAATGAATGAGTTGCAGACTATTAACACCCTCTTGGGAGGCAATTAGTGCCCTCTTCTGTATCCCAAATAACAGATAAAATGTTAAATGTTTACTATAAATCAAACACTGTTCTAAATGCTAGGGATACAAGTACAAGCTAGCAAGACAGTCCTTGTCTTCAGAGAGTTTACACTCTAAGGGAGAAGGCATAAAGGGAGGGCTGGAATTGGTTGGCTGGCCTGTTTCCAGGTAAGACAGGATAAAAATTCACCTGTCAGAGCTTGGCAGTGCAGGGCTGGGGGAATATAATATTCTGGAGCAGGGAGATGAAGATATTCCCCATAATATAGGCAGCATGGTGAAAACTGACTTTCACATTTACTTTTTTTTTTTTTTTGGTGAGGCAATTGGGGTTAAGTAACCTTGCCCAGAGTCACACAGCTAGTGAATGTTATGTGTCTGAGGCTGCATTTGAACTCAGGTCCTCCTGACTCCAAGGCTTTAAGGCTTCTCAAAGCATTTCATATATTAAGTCAATTAATCAAACATTTATTAAGTACCTAGGATGTGCCAGGCACTATGTATGCAAGACTATCTTGTTTGAATGTCATCACAACCCTGTCAGGCAGATAAACAGGCATTTGTACTCTGAGATGTGGTTCAGAAAAATTTGAAAATGGTCATCTGAATCAAATTCTTGGCCTTTGTATCATTTCATTCTCATATAGCCAGAAAAAAAGTAGATGACTAAGGCTCAAAACAACACATTAACTCCGAGTAATGGAAAAAAAACCAACAATGGCCAGGCAGAAGAGATACTGAAATAAAGCTCCTGCTTTGTGACTTGAGAGGTGGTGGACTACTGTGACAGAATGTCACAGTAGGCATTGTCAGGCAGCCTGTTTGGGATGTTTTTATTATTTTTCTTAGTCACAAAGCAGGGTTTAGTCTGTAGGAGGATATATAGGAAATGACAAAAGGTTTCAATAAAATACAAAACATATTTAAATATTTAAAATAATATAAAAATCGGAAGATCTTCGGACAAAGTCTAGATAGAGACCTAGATAGAGCGGTTATCAAAAATTCACAGCATAGTAAAAGAATTGGGGGAAAAAATAGTAGCCATTGACTTTAACTAAGTCTTTCATGATCTCATAGATGAAGTGGACAGATGTGGATGGTAGGCTGGGTTTGGAATAGTTGAATGACCCATACAATTTTCAGCTACTTCCAGAACATGTGTAATCTTACCATCTAAGATTATTGACAAGGAATTGGGAGAACTGGGTTCTGGCCCTGGTTCTTCTGCTTATTAGTTGTATGATCATTTAGAGTAATCATATCATTTCCTTCAGTTTCAGCTTCATAATCTGTTAAAAAAAAAAAGGAGGCTGGGCTTATTCTCTAAAGTCTCCTCCATTTCTAAATTGATGAGCCAATGTAATCTAAACCTAGGTTCTAGGGCTAACTCTGTGTGACCTTGGACAAGTCATTTAACTTGCTTGTACCCATTTCCTCTTCTATAAACCTAGGGGTGTTGGATGAGCTGATCTTTTAGATTCTTTTCAGTTCTCATGTTCTCTTGTGATTTTTTTCCTCCTAGAACTTCATATCTTCTATTACAACTCACCCCCTGCTAAAGAAAAGGAAAGTCCCCACATACCATACCTAATATTCTACATTGTCACACGCTTTAGAAAACTGAGCAGATTAGTTCAGGAATTTTTAAAGCATGCAAAATATATGAACAGCTATTCCAGAAACCTTAGCCAATCTGTTTCTGATAATGATAAATACCAGATGTTTTATAGGAAGATTAAACTTCCATATAACTCACCTAGAATTTGTGTAGTAATAATTTATAAAAAGGGAACAGATGTATATGCAATTTCTTCTGGAGCCTGGTTTTCCACCTGTTTGGTTTTACCCTAACATGGAAATACTGTAAAGCCTCATCTTTTTCATAATGTGAGGAGTTCATTCATATATATATATATATATATACATACACACACATATATATAATATACACACACACACACACACATATATATATACATACACACACATATATACATATATATGTTGCTTTAAAAATTCTTCTCCATATATTTACTTGGTTATCAGTTCATGGAAAGGAATTACTGAAATTCATTTCCATTCAATTTGGTAAGCATTTGCTTTTTGTGTGTGTGTGTGTGTGTGTGTGTGTGTGTGTGTGTGTGTGTGTGTGTGTGTGAGAGAGAGGCAATCGGGGTTAAGTGACTTGCCCAGGGTCACACAGCTAGTAATTGTTATATGTCTAAGCATTTGCTTTTTAAGTATCTATTATAATATTCAAAGCATTTACTTACTTACAATAGAAAGATCAAAATGAAACAGTACCTGCCCATTCAACCAGGGAGAAACAATGTAAACTTAAATAAGTATGTGTGCATGTTTGTGAATTTGTATATATCTATACATGTACATATACGTGCATGTATGAGCATATGCATGCATTATGTATATATGTGGCAGTTAGGTGGCAGAGTGAATAGATTGTTGGGGCATAGAGTCAGGAGGACCTGAGTTAAAATCCAGCCCTAGACACTTACTAGCTGTATGACCCTGAGCAAGTCACTTCACCTAGTTTGCCTCATTTGCTTATGTGTAAAATATGTAAAAAAAATATGTAAAATGGCGAAGGAAAGGCAAACCACTCCAGTATCTTTGCCAAGAAAACTCCAAATGGGGTCATGAAGTGTCTGAACAACATGAAGACAACTGAAACAACTCAACAAGATATATGTATGTATGTATACACACATATAAATTTCAGTGGATATGCCCAAAGGGCTATAAAAATGTGCATACTTACTAGTTGTGTGACCCTGGGCAAGTAATTTCACATTTGCCTCAGTTTCCTCATATGTAAAATGAGCTGGAGGAGGAAATGGCAAACCACTCCAGTATCTTTGCTAAGAAAACCCCAAATGAGGTCACAGGATCTCAGCAGACACAACAGAACAAGACATGATAGAAAAATGACTGAACAACAGCAAAAATGAGTTGGTCTGAAATACCTTATGGCAAGATCACAGAGATCAGAATAGGGTCTATTTGATTAACTAAGTTCCTCCTGTGAGGCTAATCACAGACTCAAGCTTAATTTCATCTGGCAGTGAGGGTGATATTGCTTATGTGAGTGAGACTAAAAACTGGAGATTAATTTCTATCCTGATGGACCATTCAGCTATCCCATTCAGAGCAGAGCCTGTAAGGCTAAGGTTGAGAGCAGTTGTAATTGTATCATATTTATTGTTGATATATTTTGTATGTGCTTAGATATGTACATGTTATCTTTCCTAAAAAATGTAAGATCATCTAAGCATGGTTTCAATTAATAAATGCTTATTGACTGATGGTATAGTTGTGATCAATAGTTATTTGTGTGATCAATAATTCAGAGAGAAACAGATACCAAGTGATAATGCTCTGATGCACATAGTCCAAATAAACATCAGAGTGTGACCTTTAACTTTTCTGTCTCCCTCTCCCTCCCTTTATATTCTTGAATTTTCATCTCATCATCTTGTATTTTCTCTCTTTTCATCATCACCTATTTCATTCTCTTCCCTCATCCTCTTCATTACATTTTGCCTTTCCTCTACCCACTTACTGACCATAACATGGAGCCAGGATGTATTTTTTAGTGCCTGTTATACTTATTGAAAAGAATTTTATGTTCTCTGCTCTTAATAGAAAAAGCAGATAACTTCAGTGTTTCAGATGTCTCTAAGAAAAAAAATGAAATTTTTTACACATGGTCCTAAAATTATTTTATGTGGGTCGGCAACCCTTGATAGAACAGGTGTCGACTCTTGCTGTAAAGACAGCAGTTGAACCTGCCAATACTTTGATATTACCTGCATGTTCAAAGGCCCTTTATTAAGCCATTCTAAATTTGCTGCCTTTCAGTTTGCTGACAGTCTCTTGTTCTTTTATTTTTCATCCTGGATTTTCCTCAACTGCTTAGTATTTCTTTGCTCTACTTCCATGACAGACTTCTTTGCAAAATGACATTTACTGCTTTTGAAATTTTGTTCTTGAACATAAAGGGTTCTCTGCCCGCTAATGCCCTTGCCCTGGGTAATTATAGTCATTGGCTCCCCTGCCCCCACCTTTCAGCCAGTGTCTTTGTGAATATGGGGAGCAGTGTTTCAAGTCTGGATGGTTATCAGCAGCCTCTGAAGGGGCTTTTTGTGACCCTTCTGAAGCGTCACTAAAGTAATGAAAGGCAGAGGGGAAATGACAAAGTAACCTCATCGTGGGGCTGTCAAATGGCAAAAGAGACCTCTGATCCTATCTAATCTCAGCAGCTACGTATTTCTAGCGAAGTGCTTCTCTGCCTCTGGCACTCAGCGTCTATTGGAATGCTCATGTCTATAACAGGCAGATGTGCCTGAGGACAAAAGACAAAATACGCCAACAAGGTGAACAACAGCATCCAATTTGTGGCTATTTTTACTAGCAATATAATTGCTCCAGAACCCTCCAAAGAGCTGTAATTTTGTCGGTGGAAGCACCCACCGCATTGATCCAGCCCACGACCCCGAGAAGGCTTGGAAGAGGGCCAGCAAGAGTTCATGAGCCCGCTCTTGAAGCCAGGCTGGACCTTGGAGGACAGACGGTTAGCTAGCCCATCCCCCAACTCGTAATGGAACCCTCTGCAGCTTGGCAGAGCCTGTCCCAGCTAGCATTCCTCTGCCGCAGCCAAGGAGAACCCAGGGTCACCTCTCCAGCTCAAGGAGGCATGCTTTCGGTAGAGGAATCATATCTACTAAATGCAAAGTTGGTGCAGCTCAAAGGAGAGGAAATCCATTTTGCAAACAAGGGGTTTAAAATCCGAAATAGATGGCCATATCAGGGATGTGTAGTTAGCAGCCTTACTCAAACATTTTCTGCACTAATACTACTTGAAATTTCCTTAGCACAGCCTGACTTAGTTATTCTTTTGGTAACTGGCCAAGAGCAGGAAAGCCCGAAAGCTACTTTGCTGCTACCAATCCTTCATATATAGAGCATTTCCAAGACATCGCTATGAAAACACAGCATTTGAAAAGAAACATACAGATACTCACCTCTAGGTGTCGTTTTGCACTCATTATAACTTTTTCTTAGCAGAATGACAGCTATACTTGGCCCAATTTAAGATACCACTTGGTTCATGAAATGCAAACAGGAGGAATAATGCTCAAGCACCAGATCAACAATTTAATTGAGAACCAATTAGTCTCATAAATTGTGGGCATACCCAGAGCTGGAATGTCAGTCTGGAAAGAGAATAAAAGTATAAATGTACTGCTTTGTAAATAGGTTCTATAAATAACGAATGAGCCAATGAAATAAAAAATATGTAGGAAAGAAGGCAATGTTCTGAGGGGAAGAAAAAATGGAGAATTATTAATGTACAAGTATAATACCATTAGCACCCTGCCTGGCACATAATAAGCACTTAATAAATGCCTTGTTGACTGATTCTTTCCCAAGTGCTATCTCATTTGATCCTTATAAGAATTCTGTGAGGCAGGTAGGATGGGTATGATTTCTATATTAAGGGAAAAAAAGTTTTATTGATACCTTTTTTAATATTTCAGTTATTTCTGGAAAAACCCCTCCCTTCACCCCTATGTCCCACTTTGGCCTCTCCTTTTTAACAAAGAAAAACTACATACCTCTATTTTGCAGCCTCCAAAGTCCTAGTTTACAGACTTATAACCTGATACCTCCTCCCCTCAGGAGGATACTTATTTCCCCTCAGGAAATAGGCATTTCAGGGACTTAGTTTAGAACTGGAAAGGAATTTTTAAGCTGATCTAGTTCAAGCCTCTTCATTTTACATAATAAAGAAACTGAGACCCAAAAGACTGAAGTGACTTGTCCAGGTTACACAGCTAGTTAGTGGTAAAGCTAGGATTAAAATTGAACTCTATATGATAATCCTTGGATTTATTCCCTCCCATGTGATTAAACAAAGTCAGTCAGTCAGTTAATAAACGAAATTCATCACTGTGCTAAGATTTAGAAGTAATGAAAAGTAACTGATGTTCAAAATTACTTATCTTTGGCTTTGTAATAAAGATAGGAACATACCCTCCACCATGCATTAGCACCTCAGTTATACTCTTTGTGGTGGGCCAAGGTCCACTCTTGGCTTGACCCTATTGCTAGTGGGCTAGGACCTAGCTCCGTATTAGAAGCAAGGAAGCCCCAAATTACTGTATAAAATCCAGAGGAAAAGAGAACTGGAATTGAGGGCTCCTGAGCTTCAATCCCACTGGTTACCAAATGCCTATTAGACATTTCAAACTGGATGTCCCATAATCATCTCATTCTCAAAATGTCCAAAACAGAACTCATCATCTTTCTCTCCAATCTCAGTATTCTTCAAAGCTTGTGGGTTTTTTTTTCATCCTTCCAGTCACCAGGTTTCAGGGTCATACCCAATTTCTCATTCTCCTTCACTCCAAAATATTACCTCTTCTGTCTCTATATCCTTCACGTAGCTCTCCTCTCTGCTCACATACCCACCACTATAGTTCAGGCTTTCATTATCTCTCACCTACACTATTGTAAGAGCTTCCAAACTGGTCTCCCCTGTCTCTTCTCTCCCTAACCCATCTTCCATACAGTTGCCCAAGTGATTTTTCCAAAAGCATGAGTCTGATATCTTACTCCCACTCCCAGTGTATCCCTTGATACCTCTAGGATCAAATATAAGTTGTCTGCATGACATTTAAAGCCCTTTACAACCTGTCTCCAACCCACCTTTGCAGCCTTATTATATGTTACTTCCATTCACATACTTTATGGCATAGCCACGGAGTGCCAGCTAGCCTTTTTGCTGGACACATAACACTTCTCCCATCTCTAGGCTTTCCATGGGCTATTCCTCCTATCTGGTAGGCACTCCCTCCTCACCTCACCACTGCCTGTTAGAATTCCTAGTTCCCTTCAAAGATCAGGTCAAGGACCACCTTGTACTTCCTAATCCCCAAAGATGCTAGTATCTTCCACTTAACAAATTTCCTTATATTTACTTTGCATATACTTTTAATGTACATGTTTCCCTCAATAGGGAGAATAATAATATAACACATACTTTCTGATTGACTGATCAATCTCAGTCATATCCATTTCCTTTTCTATGCCTAAGTTTCCTCATCTGTAAAATGATAGGTTTAAAGTAGATGGTCTCCCAAGTCCCTTCCAGATCTAATGAAATCATAGGGGAAAAAAAACATGTGTAAAAGCATAAGTTGGTTTTATTTCAAATACCTGGATTGGGTTGGATTCTTTCTGATATCCAAGACAATCTGTCATTAAGGAAGCAGGCAGGTGAATTATCTTTGTCTTTCAATCTGAGGGGACCCAATTCACCCACTATACTTCAGCAGTATAGTTGACATTATTGAGAGGGTGCTTCTACAAAACTAGGAATCGTGGAAGTACGGTTCAATTTATACATCAGATATAATTCTGAAAATTTTTTCTGGTAGCTGATTTTTTTCATGTAGAACATTTTACATTTGCACAGGGAACACAGGGAACCACAATATCATCTAATCCTAGAACTAGAAATAACTCCAGTCTCACTCCAACCCCAAAGGTAAATCTGTCCATAAAGCAAAGAATTCTTCTGTAAAACAAATAATCACCTGCAATTTATCTACTTCTGAAATCTAGAGTTTGCAAATCAGGTTTTCATGAAGGAGGGTATATACACAGAATCCACTGAATGGCACTCCCACAATCTGAAAAAAGTTAATAATAGGTGACATTTATACAGCAAGGCAGGATATGTCAGAGGTGGGACTTGAACCCAGGTCTTCCTAGCTCCAAGGCTAGCTTTTTATATCCACTATGCCATGTTGCCTCATAAAGAGTAACAGAGGTGCTGGAAATAACTTGACTCATTACATGTAATCAAGTTTAAGGAAAAAGAAATCATTGTTTTCTCTCCACTACTGTTAAAATAAAGTACATAAAGCAAGCAATATTTTAAATCTTTCCTTACAGATTGGGCCAAGTCAATGTAGAAGACAATACTGCATTTATACATTCAACAAGGGCAATTTTCCCCACATAGCTCCTTTTCCCCCTAGAACAAAGCACATGAAATATATTTTTAGCCCAAATAGCTTTCCATCCCAGAGTGTGCAGTATGTTGTTCAGAATGCATTACTGCTGAAGACCCCAGTAACTTCTACAGATGACTCACTCTCCACTGGTCTCTGAAGAAGTTGAGGGCAGAGCTATCCAATGGAGACTATTCAGAGAGAAGCTGTCTGCTACCCTTAATCTGGGCTAACTGTCTCTCGAGGCATTGTTATGAATTATAGGGGAACCAATTAATTGGTTGAGAGTGGCTTATTGCCACTTGAAAAACAACTCAATTATACACCCTATTGACAAATCAAAAGTTCTTTGAAGGCCTAATATATGTTATTAGTTGCCTGTTTGAACTTCACTGAGTAAGCAAGATATAGTTATCTCAGACCCCACTGACCCTTTCTATTGCATCACTCCCCATCACTTCATGTTTAACTCCTTCCAAGCATAATTCTCAGTCTGTAGCTGTATAAACTCTGATATGCATTCATGTATTTTAAGTAAGTTTTTTTATTGATGTGTTTTGTTTTTTATATCACCATAATTTTCCCCAATGTCCCTTCCCCTCCCAGAGAATCATGTTGTTGTTCAGTCATTCAGTTGTGTCCTACTCTTCGTGACTCCATATAGGGTTTTCTTGAAGAAGATACTGGAGTGGTTTGCTATTTTCTTCTCTAGCAGATTAAGGCAAACAATGGTTAACTGACTTGCCCAGGGTCACACAGCTAGTGAGTGTCTAAAACTGGATTTGAACTCATGTCTTCCTGACTCCAGGCCCAGAGCTCTCTATCCACTGAGCTATCTAGCTGCCTCTCCAGAGTTCACATCATACAACAAATAGTAGTTTTTTAATAGACAAAAAAAAGTGGAAAAATCAATATGACTGATCAAAAATCTGAAATATGTTTAATGTGCAATACTTGTGGACCTCCCACCTCTGCAAAGCTTTGGGGTGGGAGTATGTTTTCATCGTTCTTTCTTTGAACCATGCTTGCTCTTTATAATTTTACAACATTAATTTTTTATGGTCATTCTTTCCATCTGCATTGTTGTTATTGTATATATTGTTTTCTTGACCCTACTGACTTCATTCTGCATCAGTGCATGCTTCTCCATATTTATCACATTCATTGTTGCTTATAGCACAGTAATTTACCATTCCATTCATGTACCACTATTTGTTTAGCCATTCTCCAATTCTTCTATGTGTTTTAATTGTCCCTTTATTCATTTTGCTCAACCATAGCAATGCTATCAGGAAGGGAGCATAGTAATTTGAAGGAGAGACAGCATGGCATAGTGGATGAAGTCTTAAACATGTAGTCAGAAAGATGTGTTCAGATACCACCTCAAATACTTACTGTGTGACCCTGGACAAATCATTAACCTCTCTGTGCCTCAGTTTCCAAAGAGGGGACTGGATTAAGCTTTAAAATCCCTTCTACTTCTAAATCTACAATCCAGTATTATCCACCTATTTTCTGCTTATTGGTGGGCCTTCAATCACTCAATTCTTTCCCTTCATCCAGACCATTAGCCTCTCCTAGTTACTTAAGAAAGACTCTTTATTTTGGGCTTCAAGGGCAGATACCTTAACAAAGCTCCTTTTGTTGTTGTAGATCAGAAGTATCTGCCCAAGTGGCAGAACCAGATTAAAATACAATTGGGAAATGCTGAACAAAATAAATAAAACCCAAAAACTCTATTTGAGTTTTGACACCACTGCTGCTGCCTTCCTGGCCAGCCTACTCTTCCAGAGAGTTTGCTGTTTTATTCCCCCAAATTGGTTCCACCTCCCCACAGAATCACACAATATTAGAATAGGAAGGGACCACATGGCTACCTGTTTCACTCCCTGCCTGACTACAACACACTCCACAAGTATGACCCACCACTCCTGAGGTGGCCCTTTTTCATTTTTAGATATCGCTAATTTTCAAGACAGGTAGTTAGGTGGCAAAGTGGATAGAGCATAGGTCTTGGAGTCAGTAAGACTCATTTTCCTGAGTTCAAATCTGGCCTCAGACACTTACTAGCTGTGTGACCCTGAGCAAGTCACTTAACCCTATTTGCCTCAGTTCCTTATCTGTTATATGAGCTAGAGAAGAAAATGGCAAACCACTCCAGTATCTTTGTCAAGAAAACCCCAAAATGGGGTCAC